ACACACACTTAGCTTTGGAAGAAGGTGACAGTAATTTTAAACTGTGATGGTATTGGACACATCTTTAGCTTTGGAAGAAGGTGACAGTAATTTTAAACTGTGATGGTATTGGACACATCTTTAGCTTTGGAAGAAGGTGACAGTAATTTTAAACTGTGATGGTAATGTACACACTCTTAGCTTTGGAAGAAGGTGACAGTAATTTTAAACTGTGATGGTATTGTACACACTCTTAGCTTTGGAAGAAGGTGACAGTAATTTTAAACTGTGATTGTAATGGACACACACTTAGCTTTGGAAGAAGGTGACAGTAATTTTAAACTGTGATTGTAATGGACAGACACTTAGCTTTGGAAGAAGGTGACAGTAATTTTAAACTGTGATTGTAATGGACAGACACTTAGCTTTGGAAGAAGGTGACAGTAATTTTAAACTGTGATGGTAATGGACAGACACTTAGCTTTGGAAGAAGGTGACAGACATTAACAAACTCCAGTTCTAAATACAAAGCATGCAAATAACTGTTAAAGAATCCTTGTTGACAAATTCTCTTTGGGTTTCTTCTAGCCAGACATGGATATATTCATTTTGTCATTAATTTAATACTGAAACATAAGAACACAACAGCCTTAAGGAATGTGACTAAACTATCTGTTTTTTATCTCTGTTGTGGATATATGTAATTCCATCTTAATTATAGGAAGGGTAGATTTTATTTAATGTGTATTGACCTTTGATTTTACAGAAGACGGAGCACCTTTACTTTGGAATGTCCAGGTTGGTCTATATCTGTCCAGTTTGTTCCTATATTTGGAACACATTCCAGGTTGGTCTATATCTGTCCAGTTTGTTCCTATATTTGGAACACATTGCAGGTTGGTCTATATCTGTTGAGTTTGTTCCTCAATGTGTTCCAAATATAGGAACAAACTAAATACGTGTATTCCATGTCTAGTTTTCCGAGATACCTTCACAACAGAATAGCTTCGTTCCTTCTCACATCTGCCTATGAAATTTGTATGCCACTACCCCATTGAAAAAATACTTGTTTTGTTTTCATCATCTTGCAATGATAGCCCTTCACCAGTAGGAGGTCAATGCAGGCTCCTTGTGCAGTGACTCCCTCTATGTATATTGACTCAAATTAACTAAGTTTTACTTTTTCATTGTCTATAATGGACCAGTTCCAAAATTGTTAATCAATTGTTCGAGATTAGCGATAGTTCATGACAAAGTTAATTTTAGTGTTTGTGTTTCACATGACCAATGTGATTTCTTTAATTTCACTTTGAAATAAAAAAACATCTGGTATTTCTCACCATTTTGAGTTTTCTAGTGATGTTAATTTCCATTTCGCCCTATGAGAGTCACAACGTTACTAACACAAGACCTGTAGCTCCTGCAGTCTTATTGTCTGTGACAGCTAGTGTTGTGGGATCCATCATGCACACTTGGCCTCCTCCTCTTATCCATTTAGTGGATGTTCCCTTTTCTACAATTTTAACATGACCAGGATGATGATGAATTTGACCATTTATTTATCCCATCATCACAATTTGCTTTAGGTGTGTGGATGACCATGGTTGACATTTTACACATTCCAATTGACCCATCCTTACAGTTCCATGCTCTTCCTTCTGGCATTGTGTCTGCTCCTTATGTCTTCAATCGAGTCATGGGGCATTCACTACCATGTTCACAGATTGAGGCTACAGTTCTAATGGTTTTATTATTACATGGATGATTGTCTTCTCCTTTTCCCTTCCCAGGAGTACTTCTTCTTTCATACCTGCATTTGTCTATGGGAGGCTTCTCAACTGGGCTGGCTTCTCAAGCCTTCCAAGTCTTTTCTTGTACCAACCTAATATTTTGTAACATCTGGGCATGTTCTTCAATTTTAATTGGAGTCAGGCTCAGCTTTCACCACTTTACCTACAAACAACAGGATGTCTTGTCACCACGATTTGTTTCTCCTTAACACCCTGCATACAGGGTTCTTTCACTTTTAAGAATACTGGCTTCCCTCAAACCATTCATTTATTTAGTCCAGACACATGTGCCTCTTTCAGTGGACATTGCAGGACCAGTGGAACCTTTCTCAGGATCCATTGTTCTTGATTGTGTTACTCTTCTCTCTTTTTGTCGAGGAATTGTCTTAAGTAGCTCAACCATGCCAATATCATGGTGGGCATCCCCTTGCTGCCCTTCATCTAGCTCTCCATCTCTTCATAAATGCTTCTTTTTTGGTGAGGCTCGTCTCTGAAAGACGACATGAGTTTAGGCATGTGTGCTCCAAAGGAGTGCTCTTTCCACATTAACATACTTGAACCTCTAACCATCCATTGGGCAGACTTTCATTTCCTCCTTCCTGTGGATAGGTTAAACATGATCCACCCTTACAATCCCATAGTTGTTTCTTATAAAAACCACCAGGGGATACCCATTCCCGGATTTTTTTTTTCATGTATTGGATATGCTGTTTTGGGCTCATCCACATTGGGTTCATCTTACAGCCTGTCATGTGCAAGGGAGTCTGAACTTGGTGGTGGATTGACTCTCTTGGCCAAACAGGATTCTATCCATGAAGTATTTTCTTCACCCTCAGGTTTTTAATTGGATTTGCTTTCAGGTGGGCAAGCCTCTCATCAGTACCTTCACCACTTCTCTTAACATCAAACTTTCTCACTTCTGGTCCCTAGTTTCTCATCCTTTGGCTCTGACTATCTACACTCTCAGCCAGGACTGGTCTCAAAACTTTTTCTGTATGCCTATCCTCCTTTGTGCCTTCAAACAGTTGGCCTGTTCATGTTGGTGCTACCTCCTCACCCAAACCAACTCTGATTTTTTGTTTCATAAACTGAAGCCCAGCCCCAACTTCTTCTACCCCATTCCTGCTCTCTTTTGCTCCAATCACACACTTCCAAGTTCAGCCAGAAATGTTACCTCATCTTCAGATGCAAGATTTGTTTTGTCCTTTGCTTGCAAGTTTGCAACCATGTAGTCTTTTTTATGTCCAATTCCTGTAGTCCTTCAGCTATGTGCAGAGTTTTTCAGTGGTAGTCTGTCTGTCACTTCCTTCTTCCAGGCTGTTCTACAGTGGCCCACTTTTCAGCTATTTTCACATGGATTGTCAGTTTCCACCATTGCTAGTTCTCATATGGCTTTATCAACTACAGTTCCCCTTACCTATTACCACCAGGATTTTTCTTTCCCTGTTCTCTCCACTTTGTTCAGATCTTTCCTTCTTCAATGACTTCCTCGTTCTACTCCCTTGCCTGTCTGGAACCATAATATGGTTTTACATGCTCTGTTCAAGCTGTTAGCTTAATGTTCATTACAAAATCTTTCTCTGAATACACATTTGATTCTCCTTCTCTCCTATGGCTCTTCTGTCACCCTCCTTTCAATATCTTACCTCAATGCTGGTTCAGACATGAATAATCTTCTGTATCTGATTCAGGCTGTTTGATGTTATTTGGCATGTAGGTCTTCTTTTCAACATTTTTATCATTGTTTCTACCTTAAAACCCCCTCTTCTTTTGGGGACCTCTTTCATTCTGCTCTTACAGTTTGATTCACCAACTCTAGTTTGTGTATTCCTTCTTGGATATTGATGATTCAGACTCTTTCATATTTTTTGCATTAGATTCATAATCTGTCTCACTCTATTGTGTATCACTTTTGCCGACCCTTGGATGACTCAGCACACATTCATCTCCCATTATCTTCATAACCTGGCTGTATCATCTTTTGTGGGATGCCGACTCCCTCTGATCACTGTTCTTCATTTTTGTACTGTCTATGAGAAGGGTAAGTATATTTTCTTCTTCATTACCCTCATCTAATCATCTTCCCGTTTAACCTGTTATCCCTGAACTGAACACTTGCAGTACCCAAAAGTTGCTTCAGATCAGGGATAACTGAATGTGCTCTACCAGTGTCTATTGTTGAGATGAGATGCTCTGCATAACCTCTTGAGATATCTTCGTGGTATTAAATTTACTCAGTTGCCTGATCCACACCATACCATTCTATGGACTATCATGGAAAAAGCTGGTGCCAAGGATTTGGCTGCCCACATCTTTGGCTCGTGCTTGCTGGCTTCTAAAGAATAGGATTTCATGGTCACTCATTGCATCGTCTCCAGTAAAGGACCTTTCTAACATGTGTTCGATAGATGTGGATACATGCACTTTTCCTGGTCTCCCCAGTGCAGATTCTCCTTCCCACCTCTTGTCAAGTCGAGCATGGGAGACCCTTGCCACTAACCAGTATCTAGCCACTGGGGTAGTGGACCGTGGAGAGTTCTCACTGATTGTGTACAGCACAATATGGTGGCAATAAGGAGGTGGTAGCACACACTATGTAATGCAGGTCACCCCTCTTACAGCTAGTGTGCCCTCTTCCTGCAGCAGGAGGATTGATCACCTCTCGTCTCTGTCTGTCCAGTTGAGACAAAATCACACACATTGTCTGGTCTGATCATGCACTAACCACACAACCCTTCTTGGCATGCCGACTGCTTGTGTGCTAATGCTTGGTTGGTCATGCAAAAATTCTACCCATCCCTGCAACACTTGGGGCTCTTTTACCTTTCCTTCTTTTTCTTTCTGGGTGAAGAGTATACCCTTCTTGAGACAAAATGCTGTCTCACACAAGAATGTGCTTATGGAGCCCCTGCCATTGAGTGTCACATTCCATGGACTTTCTCTTCAAGCACTTTCTGAAGGGAGCTCATCTATGTTTAATGTTTGCACCAGCTCCTCTAACATTTCAATGGGGGATTCTAGCTGCTCTGTGTGTGTGTGAAGGTGAGGTATTGTCTTGGAAGTTAACTGAAAATGTATTTCCGATAGATAAACACCTTCCCAACCATCCTTGTATTTCCGATAGATAAACACCTTCCCAACCATCCTTGTATTTCCGATAGATAAACACCTTCCCAACCATCCTTATATTTCTGATAGATAAACACCTTCCCACCCATCCTCCCCACTTCTGGTGCCTTTTCTTCTTGCCCTGTTTAGGAATGTAGTTAATTCAAGTGCATAGGGGGAGCTATCTCACAAGAAGGTTGTGTTGCCAGGATGGCTATTTTCTCCTGATGACGAAGTCATGCACTAACGCAACTAGTGACATGCAAATCTCATAGGCAGGAGCATGTAGGAATTCAGGTAAGGTTCTGGAAGATGCTTAACAGTTTTGTCTTGTCCTGTAGGAAGTCCGAGCGACCTTGCAGGCTTGAGAGTGGGAGACAACATTTGGGCCATAGATGGAGAGAGAACTGCAGGAAAAACACATTCAGAACGTGTCTTAAAACAGGCTGTTTATAGAGGATCAGTAGAACTGGTTGTATGGAGACCGTACCAGTCTACATTTGGTAAGATCACCATCCTAATGAGAAAGTCTGTCAATAATTCTCACTAACATAGAAATTGTGATGTAAAAACACTAAGTCAAAATGTAGAGTAAACAAAATTTGTTGTATTTAATACATTGTGATTTCTTTCTGTTTTCTCCTAAGATTTTCCTTTCCTTGACTCTTACTAAAGTTAAGGTGTCCTACAACTGATTATCAAGGTTGTTATTGTTCTTGTCCCTTACTAAAGTTAAGGTGTCCTACAACTGAATATCAAGGTTGTTATTGTTCTTGTCCCTTACTAAAGTTAAGGTGTCCTACAACTGAATATCAAGGTTGTTATTGTTCTTGACCTTTACTAAAGTTAACGTGTCCTACAATTGAATATCAAGGTTGTTATTGTTCTTGTCCCTCATCAAAATTCAGGTGTCCTACAACTGAATATCAAGGTTGTTATTGTCCCTTACT